CTCCTGAGGGGTGATTGGGCAGCAGCCGCTGCTCGCACCTGCTGCTGGCGCTGGCCCCAATCACTTTGTACCATCAGCGGGTGCGAGTGGGGCTGGTGCCGTCAGTATGTGGCAACAGCGGCGGCAGGAGCGGGACTGCAGGCAGATAGGGGACTGGGGACCACGACGGGAAGGGCCAGGTGGGGGCCCAGAGCATGGGCTGAGACCTGCCCCTGTGCCCACCACAGCCTCGCAGCCCACAGTTCCTTTCAAGGTGCACGAATTCGTACACTGGGCCCCTAGTTCAATAATAAGAGGACATCCAATTTAAAAGCTGTGATAGACATTTCAGCAAAGAAGATACAGAAATAGCTAACAGGTACATGAAAAGGTGTGTAACATTAGCAATCATTAGAGAAATACAAATTAAACTATAAGGAAGAAGATACCACTACACACCCACAAGAAAGACTATAATCCAAAAGACAGACAATTACAAGTATTAGCAAGAATGTGGACACACTGGAACCCTCAGATGTGGCTGGTAGGAATGTAAAATGATGCAACCACTTTGGAAAAACAATGCAACCACTTTGGAAAAACAGTTTGGCAAGTTTCTTTAAAAAAAGAAACATAAACTTACCATACAAGCCAGCAATTCCACTCCTAGGTATCAACCCAAGACAGGAAAATATATATTCAAACAAAGATTTGTACACGAATGTTCATAGCAGCATTATTCATTATAGCCAAAGAACAACTCAAATGTCCATCAATTTGTGAATGGAAAAACAAAAGATGAGATGTTCATATAATAGAATATTATTTAGCATTAAAAAAGAAACACTACTCTAGGGTGGCTGAATGGATAAGAAAACATGACCCATATATATGCTGTCTACAAGAGATGACCTCAGAACAAAGGATTCAACAGACTGAAAGTGAAGGGATGGAAAAAAATTTTCCAGGCAAACAGAAATGAAAAAAACAGCTGGGGTAGCAATACTTATATCTGACAAAATAGACCTCAAAGTGAAGGCCTTAACAAGAGATAAGGAAGGCCACTTCATAATACTAAAGGGATCGATAGAACAAGAGGATAAAACTCTGGTAAACATATATGCACCCAATACAGGAGCACCCAAATACATAAAAAAGAAAAAAGAAAAAAGAAACACTACTCAACATAGAGGAACCTCAAAAACTTAATACCAAGAGAAAGAACCAGATGTAAAGGACTACATACTGAATGATTTCATTGATAGGAAATGGCCAGAAAAGGCAAATCCCAAGACAGAAAGCCAATCAGTGTTGCTTGGAGCTGGGGATAGGAATGGGGATTGATGGCAAATGGCACAAGGTGACTTTTTTTGATGGAAATATTCTAAAACAAATTGTGGTAATGGTTGCATAACAATGAGTGAATTTTACAGCATGTAAATTATGCCTCAATAAGACTAAAAAAAGTCTATGATTTGGGAAAAAAAAGATAATCTATGAATACAGCTGAAGTTATATTCAGAGAAATACACATCTTTAAATTCTTTTATTATTAAAAACAAACTAAAATAAGTGAACTCTGTACTTAATAAATGAGGAAAAGAATAAAATAAAGCAAAATAGAATAAAGATAAATGTGAAAATGAATGATATTGAAAACAAAATAACCAAAAGAACAAATGAGTTCAGAAGGAGACATGGCCACCTCGGATGTGGAAGACATTAAAAGATTCGTTAAGAACATAATGTACAAGTTAACACATGATGTACTCTAAAATGATGGAAGAAATATATAGATTTATCACTGAGAAAAGCACTAGGCTCACTGAGTTCTAAGTCGACCTTCAACCCTGTGTTCTGGACTTTAAGAGCACACACGCCATTCCACGTCTGATTACTGCAGAACAGTCCCTGCCATTGGACAGCAGCGTAAGAGAGATGTAGGAAGCCTGCAGGCCACCTCTGGGAAAGATCACACGAGCCAGTATCCGCACACCTTAGAGTGGATAACATACAGTAACACGAAACAGGCCAGCTCCATGTGATAAATACAGAAGCAGAAAATTAGTAAACTGAACCACATAAAAGTCACCATAGACTGTGCAATACTGAGGTTTATCCCAGTAATGTAAGGATAGTTCAAAAGCAGAAAATCTATCCACACACAATTACTATGTTAACATCTTATGGCGAGAAATCATATGGCATCAGATAAAGCTCAGCAATAGTGCACGGCACCAACCAGCCAGCACAGGCGGTAACAGCCATGTGAAGGTAGACCACGGACCATCCACACTCTGGGTTGAGGCCATTTACCAGAAACCAAGAGCCATTTTCACAAGGAACCAGGAAATGCTGAAACCTTTTACCAAAATGGGAGAAAACAGGGAGGCCTGCTCTCATCTCTGATATCTATGTTTTACTGGTGCTAAAGTTAAAATAACTAGTATATATTGGTATAAATATTGGAGGAAAGATAAAAGTATCTAACTATAAATGACAGAACTATATATGCAAACTGTAGTAAAAAAATTACTAAGATTAATAAGAAAATTTGGTAAGATAATAGAGTAAGAAAATGTTAAAAAACCAACAGCCTTTCATTAGATTAGTAAGAACTAATTGGAGGCAGAAATGAAAAAAATATAACCCAGTCAGAAGAGTAACAAAAACTATAAAGTACTTATGAATAAATTTAATGAAAAGGTAGCAACTTAAAAGAAAATCACAGCCCTGGCTGGTTTGGCTCAGTGGATAGAGTGTCAGCCTGTGGACTGAAGGGTCCCAGGTTTGATTCAGGTCAAGGGCATGTACTTCAGTTGCGGGCACATCTCCAGTAGGGGGTGTGCAGGAGGCAGCTGATCGATGTTTCTCTCTCATCTATGTTTCTAACTCTCTATCCCTCTCCCTTCCTCTCTGTAAAAAGTCAATAAAATATATTTGTTTAAAAAAAAAAAAAAGAAAAAATCACAAGACCCAGAAAAATGGAAGCGATATATCATCTTCTGCAATGGGAAAAGAGTATCATAAAAATGTCAATCAATCTTCCCCAAATCAACATACAACTTCAATGTTATTCCAATCAACTCCTATTTTTCTGAATTAGACAAAATTATTTTAACATATATGCAGAAGCACTTACGTTTCAGAGTAGCCAGGAAAGACTAATCAAACAAAATCAGTGAAGGGAACTGACTTGACCAGGATGAATTCCCTGGATATGTGGATACACAACAGAAAACTGATCCCTCTGGGAATAGTGCAAGCAGACTGCATGCCGTTCTTACTTGGTATAAAGAAAAACAGAGAAAAGGGAGGTTGAGAATCACAAACTGAGACCTGGAGAAAGAGGGTTGCGCAGAGAAGCAAAGGAAGCCACAGGGCTGGGCCTCTGCATGGTGCCCTGAGGGCGAGCATAAGCCCTAATGACAGAAGCCAAGCCTAATACTCATGATGGGTATTAGGGATGGGGCTTGGACAGAGAAGGCTCAATAATGGTTATGGGACACCTTCTTCACCACAGACATCTCATGTATGGTGGCCAGCGTCCTAAGGGTACTGGAAGGAGTCATGGGCACACACTCCTTTTCTCACTGGCTGTTTCCCACCTTGGGACAGGATGTTGGCTCCAGCAGAGCAGACTCTGGTTTTTATTTAATGCTGTACCCCAGTACCTAGAACAACCGTGGGCAAACTACGGCCCGCGGGCCGGATCCGGCCCGTTTGAAATGAATAAAACTAAAAAAAAAAAGACCGTACCCTTTTATGTAATGATGTTTACTTTGAATTTATATTAGTTCACACAAACACTCCATCCATGCTTTTGTTCCGGCCCTCCGGTCCAGTTTAAGAACCCATTGTGGCCCTGGAGTCAAAAAGTTTGCCCACCCCTGACCTAGAACAAGGCCTGTTTTTGTAGTTACTCAATACAGAATTTGCTAAATGAATGAATACCCCCAGAAAGGCATGGACTATTTGGGAGGGAAAGACTCCTCAAAAATGACTTAGGATGTATATTATCTACCACAAAGCTAAACCAAACAAAAGTCAGATACAAGCTCTATAAACTGTACCGAGCAGATTCCTAGCAACCCAGGAGCAGGAAGTGCATCCAAGAATCCATAAGTTCCTCCCTCCACCAACCTTTCACTCCCTCCCTTCCTCCATGCCTCCCTGAATCCCACTGGCCTGCACATCTGCACCAAGCTCCTAAGTTCATAAGAAATGAAAATTCATTGTAAAAGACCCATTATTATGTACTTGAGATATGAAAAATGTCTGATGTTTCCTTTACGTATTACACTAGTCTTAGATTTAGAAAATACAAAGTTTTCCAGATGTTCACATTTGACTTTGGGGTCCTTACCCTATTTTCTTTGATAAGGTTTTATGGACTTCAATCTCAAAATCTCCTAGAGGACCACTTTTAGGGCTGAACACCCTCAGGTAGAAAGGGGTAACTGTGCCATTTGGGGGAAATTCAAAGCAAAGAGCTCTATTCCCTGACTCCTCTCAAACAGGAAATCCCTGGGTAGAGTAATCCCCAATGACTCATAGGAGAAGTCCATCAAGGACTATAATTCCAGTCCTCATTCCTCCACCACCAGAAAAACCAAGGGATTCTACCATAGTCTTCACAATTACTCGACTTGGGGTGGCTACTTTATGAGCTGTAGAGTTCTGAGACAGATGAAAGAGAAGAATTACTTAAAAGAAAAATTGGCTAGCTTAATTATAATTAATATGAGAAGCTTTTAAGTCTTTCCTCTGTTACTTTTTAGTATATTATACCTACAATACATTTATGGTTAGATTTTTATCTTAAGTAGCTCTGGAGTTTAAAGTATTGGTTGGGTAAATAAGTTAATGGCATTCAATCTAAACAAAAACTCCATAAAGAAGAAAGATGACCCTACAGAATATAAACACAGTAAAGGTATAAAAAGCTAGCAAACTATCAAAACATTACTCCTCCATAAATAGCCAAAATTTAATTTTAAAAAACAAATAATAAAAATTACCTTTTAAAGATTGTAGTTTTTGAAGTTCTCTATCACTGCTGGCGCTAAACCTGGAGGAATTTTGCCGTCTGTCTTTCTTCACTATGGGCTGAACGGCTGGCACCTTAATTTTACTAGATACTGTAGACGAGACAGAACCAATGCTGCTTTTCCTGCTGGAAATCTATTTATAAAATAAAAACAAAAACAAATGAATATGTCAAATGATTTTATTTTATAGCACAATTAGACTATGGAAAAAATGTATAAAAGTTCCACTCGGGGACAGTGCCTTCCACTCACAGTTTCTGGACTGTGAGGCTCCATCCACCTCTGGCAATGCTCGATTTGGAGAGATCACAGGTCTACCTAATTTCCTTTATCTTCCTTTTGACTTTTAAATATTTACCATACAGACTGGTATGAAATGGCTGGTGATAATGACCCTCCAAAGATGTCCACACCCTAATCCCGGGACCTCACTTGGGCAAATGAACTCTGCAGATGTGATGAGGTGAAGGGTCCTGTGGTAGCAGGTGAACTCCAGGTAACCACACAGGTCTTCATAAGACAGAAGGCAATGAGATGACAAAGCAGAGGTCAGAGAGGGGCTGGCATGCGCCACACTGCTGGCTTTGAAGATGGAGGAAGGGACCATGAGTCAAGGAGTGCAAGCATCTTCTAAAAGTTGGGAAAGGCAAGCAAACAAATTCTTCTCTAGAGCTTCCAGAGGAACTATCCATGCCGACACCTTAATTTTGGCCCCATTTCAGATTACTGACCTCTAGAACTGTAAGATAGAAAATTGATGATCTTTTAAGCCAGTAAGTTTGTGGTCACTGGTGCAGCAGCAATAGGAAACTAATTTGCTGAGCAGCTCATAAATGACAAGTCTCCCTGCTAGCTCACCACTCAGCCTCAGGACTCAGGAGAGGCTACAGGAGAGCCTCGGAAAATGCTTTCTAGCTGCTCTCTCCTCGCATTCACCTCCGGGCTCCAGAGACAGTGCTTGTCTCCAGACTGCATCACCATGGCTGGGCTGTCCCATGACACGCAGCCCGCCTGCAAGGTGAGGGGCAGCACACATACTCAAGCAGAGGTGGATGCGTGCTGAGGGCACACACAGCAGAACGGGGCCCCCTATCTTCCAGGTAGGCCTAAGGGGCCCAGCTGGCACAGGGAGCCCTGTGGAGCTCAGCTGTGCTTGGCCAAGGCAATGACAGCTGACAGATGCACTGGTGAGTATGGACCACCCAGGTTATGTGTGCAGCGAAGGTGCTTACTCTCCCACCCTGCAATCTGCTAGAGAAATGGACTTTGTACCCATCAAACTCATCTTAGAAACACAAACCCACAAGCCCCTCCAATCACTCAGGGCCAAGGAGAGCAGACCTACTGACTCAGACCCTAACTATTTACTCTCATCCTTGACTGAAAGTTTTACTAAGAAGTAAGCACTGTTTACCTTTTACTAAGGTGCTTAAGAATGCTGGGCCCGGGATGCTTGCAAGCTGTCAGAGCTTCACACGCAGATGAACCTGCACAGGGACGAGGGCCTGGGCTCCCTGCCTCCCCACATCTGAGCTTCTTCTTCAATATGGGCATCTTGGGCTCTATCTGACATTTATCATTCTCTCACGTGATCATGAAAGCATGGGTCTTTCCTCCTCGAAAACCCCATCCATCACTCTCCTCCTCCACGGGCTTCCCCATGTTAAAACTCTCCTGCTGGGTTCTCTCTACATGCCCCCAGAAAAGCCTAGTATTTACTTATTCCCGTCACAAACAGCTCCTCCCAGGAGATGTTCTTGTTTTAAATGATACACACACAAGAGTCTAGATGGAAGTTTACATGGGACTGTTATTTTTTGTAATGCCGAATCCAGTGCTACCAACATAACCTTGGAAGCCAACTGGGTCAAACCTGAACAGGTGAGCTCTCTGCTGCTCCCTGGACAGATGGCCTTCGCACTAAAAGTGGCAATCTGGCTAAGTCATAAAACAGAATGAAATCTGTGGTATCCACAGCCCATCGTGGGACACACTGGGTAAGGCTCCCACTGCCTGAGAAAACAAAGTTCTCCCCAAGACCTGCTGACTCCACACATCTCCTCTCCCATAGGCCCTGCTGGTCCCACCTCCTGCGTCTCCCTCCCGAGCATTCCTCCTCAAGGCCGGCAGAGTGACTTCCAGAAAAGGCAACCTGGTCCCATCTCCCCCGTGACCCCCATTCTGTTAGGTGGGGCCAGGCCTTCCTGCACCTTGGAGCTCTCAGCTCAGGCTTCTCCTTTGTAACCAACACGCTGACTTTATGCTCACTTGCTGATTACAAGGTGGATGTCTTTCCCCCAGTGAGGACTGTCAGCTCCTGGGGGACAGGCCTGTCTGGCCTAGACACCACACTGTCCAGTTCTGTGAAAAACATAGGGCCGCCCAATACATGACAGGAGTCCAAGGAACTTGCAAGATCAGGAAAGCTCCTCTGAGAGCGTGTGCACGTGTGTGTTCATGTGTGCGTGCGTGTGCGTGGAGCAGTGTCCGGGCAGGTGTCATTGAGAGCCGAGAGGTTCAGCACAGCCGTAGGCCACAGCAGAGAGTCGGGCAGGCACAGAGTGGGGCTGGAGTGGCCTCAGAGCCACCAGCCCAGGTTAAAGAATGTGACCTTTACCCTCAAGGGAACCTTGAAGCCAAGTGAAAGGGTCTGAGTGGGGCAATGACACGAACACATTTTCCCTTTGAAAGGCCCCTAAGGCTCCAGTGTGGTGTCCGGTCTGGATGGTTAGGGAAGCAGAGGAGCCACAGGAGGTTTTTCCAGTTCTCCAGACAAGAGATGAGGACGGCAAATGGAACACTGGGCAGAGCAGAGAATCGGTGGGAAAATCAAGGCGCTAGTTGACAGGATGGAATGGAAGTGGGGGATGAAGAGGACGAGGAGTCAGGGAGACCTCCCAGACCTCTGGCTGACACAGGATGGGGACGTGGGACAAGCCGCTGAAATAGGAAAGAAAAGCGGGGAAAGAAGCTGTGAATGTGCTGAGTCGGAGGTACTTCCACGGCGATGCCAGTGTCCTGGACGAGGAGTTCCAGTGACCTCTCTGCCTCTTCTCCACACCATTCTCCCCCTCTGTCTGTTATACCAAGTGTCATTCTCCTTGGTTACTGTCTGTCCCACCAGCTCTGGAGACAGGAAGACTGGCCTGCCCTCATCTACCTTCTCCACCTTGGGTGTTGCACAGCTGGCACTCAGGAAACCATCCGCTGAGCCAAAATGTCAACCTGGAGTCAACTACCTGGTCACTGAGGTCAGGGAATGAATGAGAACGCCTAGTCCAAGAGCATGAAGTGAGCAGAGAGGGGTGAAGGAGGAGGTGACAGAGGGAGCTGCGGAGACCCGGTTGGCGAAGCAAACGAACGTGGGGCATCACGAGGCAAAGGGAAGAAGCTGCTCAGGAAGGAAGGTCAATTCCACCAAATGTCACTAAAGCCCAATGTCTGCTGGACTCCTATCTCACAGGTTGTGGGGCTGAGTGAGGGAGCGGAGGATGCAGCAGGAAGACCCAGAGTGTTCACAACACCTTTGAAAAGTGTGGTAGGGGCCTGGCTGGTGTGGTCAGTGGTTAGAGCATCAGCATGTGGTCCGGAGGATCATGGGTTCGATTCCCAGTCAAGGGCAGGTACCTGGGTTACAGGTTCAACTCCTGGCCCTGGTTGGGGTACATGCGGGAGGCAACCAATCGATGTGTCTCACTCACATCAGCGTCTCTCCTTTCTCTCTCTCTCTCCCCCTCCCTCTCTCCCTCTCTCCCCCCTCCCTTCTACTCTCTCTTGAAATCAATGGAAAAAACATCCTCTGGTGAGGATTCAGAAAAGTGTGGTGGGGAGAAGGAAGCAGGCGGGGCACCAGGGGAAGAAGCAGAGTCAGAGGATGTTGTCTGTGCATTAGGGAGGAGAGGGGTCTGAATATGCTGAGTGGTGACTCAGGAGTTGTAAAATGGTCAATAAGCACATGGAAAGATGCTCGACATCATTAGCCATCAGGGAAATGAAATGAAAACCACAGTGACATACTGCTTTGCAATCACTAGGGTGGCTATAATATATACTTTTTAAATGGAAGATAAGTGATGGGGAGGATGGGGAGAAATTGGAACCCTATACACTGCTGGTGAAATGAAAAATGGTGTGACTGCTGTGGAAAACAGGCAGTTCCTCAGTAGTTTAACACAGAGTTACCATAGGACCCAGCAATCCCACTCCTAGGTACGTACCCAAAGAATTGAAAACAGGTGTTCAAACAAAAACTCGTACACTAGCTAATATTCATAGTAGCAGTACTAAAATAACCAAAGATGGAAATGACTCAAGTGTCCATCAACTGATGAAACAACTGTGTTACAGCCAAACAATGGAATATTATTCAGCCATAAAAAGGAGTGAAGTACTCACATAGGCTGTGTGTGTGGTCCTTGATAACGTGATACTGAGTGAAAGAAGCCAAACACAACAAGCCCCATGTTGTATGATCCACTGACATGAAATGCCCAGAACAAGCAACTCCACAAAGAGAAGAGGCGAGTCAGTGCTGCCAGGGGCTGGGGGAAGGACTTGAAAAGTTACTGCTTAATGGGTAAGGGTTTCCTTTTGGGGTGAGAACAATGCCCTGGAACTAGACAGTGGGGATGGTTACGCAATACTGTGAACATACTAAATGCCACTAGTGGTAAATGTTGTGTTATGTGCATTTCACTGCATATAAGAAAGTGTTTCATCTGTTCCAGTTCAGCTTGTTCAGGAAAGCCCCCAGCCTACCCGGCCTCGCTCTGCCCCAGGCACAATCAGGAGCTTCCTTCTTCTGTTACCCCTCTGACCTCTAAATTGGCCTTAGCTCTCTCTCTCTCTCTCTCTCTCTCTCCGTTTTTTGTTTTCTTTAAAAAAATATATTTTTATTGTTTTCAGAGAGAAAGGGATAGGGCGAGATAGAAACATCAATGAAGAGAGAGAATCATTGATTGGCTATCTCCTGCACGCCCCCTACTGGGGATCGAGCATGCAACTGTGACCTCCTTGTTCATAGGTCAGTGCTCAACCACTGAGCCACACCAGCCAGGCATCCCCCATTCCCCCATTTTTTTAAAAATATGTTTTTATTAATTTTAGAAAGAGAGAAATGGAGAGGGATAGAAAGACAGAAACATCAATGAAAGAGATACATCAATCGACTGCCTCTTGCACGCCCCCTACTGGGAATCCAGAACCCAGTTGGTTCATGGGTCAAAGTTCAAGCACTGAGACACACCAGCTGGGTGGCCTTAGCTCTCTTTCTCTCACATTGGGATGGTGGGTTCCTCTCTGACAGGAGGCTGAAAGCTCAACTAGGAACCCAGTGTTGAGGCCAGTGCCAGGCACACAGCAAGGGAGGGACCACTGGAGGACGGAAGGGCTAGCCTGCCATTGCTAACCAGTGCCACCCGCTGTCCCCCTTCATTCTTGGAGGCGGATGCAAACAGCAGGTGCCCTGGGTGCCAAGGGGCATGCCTGTTTCGAAGGCCGAATGTGCCCAGCCTGGAGGAGGCATGATCGCTGGCGGGACACTAAGTGATAAGCAACAGCTGTGCTGCTCCAGTTTATGTGTTTACTCACAGCATGGACACTGGCTTATTTATCCCGAAATGACAAGAAAG